CTCTTATGCTTTGGCTCTCTCCCACTCTAACCTCTTTTTTTTTTTTCTTCCCCTCCCCCATGGGTTTCTGTTAAGTTTCTCAGGATCCACATAAGAGTGAAAACATATGGTATCTGTCTTTCTTAAGAGCAGAGAATTTGAACATAACCTGTGTAGTTCCAAAGTTAAGTTCAACAGCCAAGTTGTACAGAGTCTGCAAACACTAGGAGACAGGGAAGAAGTTAGCTCTTGCTATCAGCCCCAGGGAGAATTGTAATGGAGAAAGGTAGGCATTGGAGTTGCAAAAAAAAAAAAAAAAACAAAAAATTGGACAGATAGAGGGTGCATTTTGTGAAGCAAGAACACACAAGCAGAGTCAGGGGTGATGGACATTACAGATTCTAGGAAATTATAAATATCCCTGTTTGGTTTAAGGGTAGTTGTGTTGGGTTGTGGCTGGAGACCATAATTCCACCACATCATGAAGAACTTTGAATGCTGTACTAAAGGGTTTAGAACTTAACTTGTATAGGCAGCAAGGAGCCCCCCCAAAATTTGTATCAAGGGACTTATCAGCAACTGTTAGTATTCTCCTTTATAAGTATGCTTTACATGTTGTGAAGAAATTAAACATATCTGAAGTGTTTCAAAGAGGAGACATTTGTTTTCATTGCGTCTTACATAGACAATCACATTACCAGCCGACATGGCCCCCTAGGTAAGGAGTGGTGTTGTATCAGCACTTAGAACGCTTTGCATGCACAGTGAAATCAGCTAATCACACTGTTTTTTTCCTGGAATGATAAGACATTGTTTTCTTTTGTGCTTTAGGAAGGGTTAAGAAACTTCAAGGAACTTCGAGCCAAATTTCAAAAGTTTGATGTGCCCTCTCTTCCAAGACCTATATTCCCAGCAAGAATTTGTCAAAAGAGCGATATTGGAAACACACAGTCAACAGGTGTTTTGGCCAATGAGAAACCCCTCTCCTCCAACCACAGTCAGCTCCCACTGTATTGTTCTAGCGGTGAACCCCAGCCTCTTCAACCCCAGGAAACGAAGTCCTCCCAGAGGAGCAAGATTCAGAGATGTTCTGATTCCTCAGAACCTCCAGAAGGGTCTACTGATTCTGCAGTAAAGTCACAGAAGACGTCTCTGCTGTTAGACGTGAATCAGTCAAATGCTGACATAACCCATGAGAGGAATGTCATGGTGACTGACAGCTTCAAAGACAAGCTCTGGAATTGGGAGAAGGTTTCATCTCAGAAAAGTGGGATGTCTTCAGCCTTTGTCCTTGCCAGTCGTGGAAGAAGGGCCTTCCATCTGGAGGAGGAGAAAAGCATAGGGCTTGCTCCACAGGAGCCCAGGGGGAAGCTAGAAACAGGAGGAGCCCAGACCCTTCCTTCCCAGAAGCACTTGATGGCCCCCCAAAATTCACTTGCCTCCTTTCAAGATCCTACTTCTCTACTTTTTCAATGTGGCAGGAAGAGCCTAGAAAGCCCCTATCCTGAGAGGAGCCCCGTGGGGAACACCTGCCAGCCTGTCTATGAGAGTGAACTTGCCATCCAGGTCCCCGGTGAGAAAGTAATGCCTGAGGGAGGGGCCACTGTGTCTTTCTAATTTAGAGCCTCCTAGTGGCCATATGTGACCTGGGTGAGGTTTGCTCCGAACTCTAGAGCAGGTATGCGAGGCCCATCTGCTAACTTGTAATTTCAGGTTTGGGTAAAGTGCCTAATCTCCAGGAATCCTATTTAGCGATGATTTGGTCAAGTTTGGATTTGCCCTCCTAGCTCTACTTCTCACAAGATGCATGAACTTGGACAGTCGACTCAACCTCTTAGAGCCCGGTCTGCTCTCCTGTAAATCAGATCCATCACCAGTCTGCCCCAGCTTGGTAAACAGCACAAACATCCTCCTAGTTGCTCAGGCCAAAAACCTAGGAACTGTGCTCTAGTCTCTCTCTCATTCTCTGCATCCACTCCATCAGCAAACTCTTGGTTCCACCATGAAAATATGTTCTGAATCCCTCCACTTCTATCCATTTCTGCCTTCTTATTCACGCCATCATCATCTCTCACCTGGACCACCGCAGTGTTCCAGCTGGGTTCCCTGCTTCCATACTCTCGCCTCCTTTTATCCTATTCTCCTAGCGGGCACAGTGAACTTCTAACACATCAATTAGATCACATCACTCCCCTGCTCAAATTCAGTTCCAGCAGTCTTAAAGTGGCTGATGTGATTTGGCCCTTCCTACCTCTCTTACCCTCTCCTTTTACCACATTGGCCTTCTTGCTTTTCCTTAGATATACTAAGCTAGCTCCACCCCAGGGCCTTTGCACTTGCTGAGCACTCTGCCTGGAACATGCTTCCCCCAGGTCTTTGATGTCTCACTCCCTCCCCTCCACCATGGTCTCTGCTCAGGGTCACCTGTTGTGAGTAGAATTTGTGAATCACCATCTAAAATAACTACCCTACCCCTATAAGTCTCACCTTGATTTGGTTTTCCTCCTATCCCATCCTTACATGGGATACCTGTTGTATACCTGTTTGCATACCTCAATAAAATGTGAGTTACATGAGGGTAAAAACTGTCTTCTTTACCACCATATCCCCAGCACCTAAAAGAGCAAGGCCAGGTTTGGTAGGTCCTTAAAAAGTATTTATTGGATGCTTGGATGGGTGGATGGGTAGACGGGTGGGTGGAGGGATCTCCTGCATACGACTCTATATGGTGGATACAGACTGTCCAAGTTCATGCATCTTGTAAGAAGTAGAGCTACGAGGGCAAATCCAAGCTTGCCCAAATCATCTCTCAATCGTGGTCTCTGATTTCATGGCTCTGCACCTTCTGGGTCCTGCTGATGAATCTGACGTACTCCTGTTTCTCTCCCCCTGGCTCATAATAGACACCCGATTTCTTGCTGTTCCTTGAAGAGACTTTATTATGCTCAGGACATTGACATTAGCTCTTCCTCTTCCTTCTTGTTTGAGCCTTCCATAGCTGCATTTAGGTCTGAGTTCACATGACACTTTCACAGCTAATCCTTCTCTTTATCTGAAGAAGTTAGTTCAGTTCCCACTCTTGCCTATCAGCCTGGTGGATCTCTTTCATAGAACCCGCAGGTCTCTGTGATTACCTTTATTTGTTTGCGTGTTTATCATCCGTCTCCTCCTGTTAGAATGAAAATTCCTGAGGGCAAGGCTTGATCTCTTCTTGTTCTTAACTCCATACCCAGCTGTTAGAACAGTGCCTGGAATATAGTAGATAATTAGTTATTGGTGAAGGGATGCGGCAGGAGGATGGTTCGTCTACCAGACTGAGCTGTTGAGGACATTAAATGAGAGAACCCATGCCCTTGGCTTAGCACAGCACCTGGTAAAACTTAGGAACCCAGTTGGTAAGTGATCATTCATTTTCACCACATCTCCTTAATTTGATAAAGACTGAAATTTCTGATGTTGCAACTTATCATTACAATTTAATTATAATTATAATCCATAGGTGCCTACGAAGGGGTATCTGGGTGGCTCAGTCCGTTGAGTGTCCGACTTCACCTCAGGTCATGATCTCGCGGTTCATGAGTTCAGGCCCCATATCGGGCTCGTTACTGTCAGCCTGTCAGTGCAGAGCCCGCTTTGGATCCTCTGTCCCCCCTGTCTCTGCCCCTCCCCCACTCGCACTCTCCCAAAATAAGTAATTTTTTTTTTTTTTTTTTTAAAAACCTAGGAAGAGAGGAGCTTGGTCCTAACTGATAGAACCCCTCCTGGTGGGGCACGAGGGGGCCGTCCTCCCCTCCCCTCCCAGATCCCAGAGTGGGCAGCAGGGCTCTGAGGCAGTTGCAATGAGGGATTTGTACACTGGCCCCCATATTTAGTTTTAGCATGGCTAGTCCATGTACTCAACCACTGTATTATGTGAAGCAAAAACAAGGCTCTTGGATCATACAAGATGTTGTGCTGTGAAGCGTTAGAGGCAGATAAGGTTTTCACATATAATATTGGGATTTCTGTTGGAGTCTGGCTTCTGAGTACAGAAGGACAAAATGTAGGCATTCGACACTGTCTCAGAAAATTCCAGGACGCAAAACCATAAAATCCACAGGTGCCCACATACCATAAACTTAGCCTTGAAGCTTGTCCCAGACTGTGAGCCCTGGAAATCAGAGATCAATTCTTACTCCTCTTTATAGCCCCCGTGTTATTTGCATGTCATAAGTGCTTGATGGAACCTTTCAGGGAGTAGTCACCATGCATTTTCTTGAAAGTAGGTTCTCTGCCTGATGCTGGCAGGAGAGCAATATGGCCTTGTCCCTGTGCATGAGGAGCTGACCCTCAATAGTAAGATAGACTGGCGGCCCCTCTAATATGCCACCACACTGGCGGAGAGGTGTTAATGATATGTTGTGGAGATACAAAACAGAGTGGTTAATTCTCACCTCGATTTTGAAATCGATGAAACCTTCCCAGAGGAGGTGTCATTGGAGCAGGGCCTTAAACGAGTCAGAGCTTGCCAAGAAGGAAGTGAGGGAACAGCATTCCAGAACCAGGAATGGCATGAACAAAGTCTTGGGTACAGGATGACTTTGTAAATCAAATTCAGACAACTGAGAAGCCATTGGTATGAGTGAAAGATATTTGGGCTGAGGTCAGAAAAGGATGCTAAAGTGTAATAAGAAAAGAATCTGGAAATGTGGATGGGGGGCCATGTCGTAGGAACATGCCAGAGGATGGACTACATAAATGGGTGTCATGCTGATGAAGCCAGGCTTCGTCCTCTGGGCAGCAGGCTAGTGACATGATCAGGTTTGCATTTTGATCAGGGCACCCTGGCCAGTAGGACAGATCTAGACAAGAAGGGAGAGAGACTGGCCAGTTTCACCCAAGAAGCCATGAAATGGAAAATAGTAATAAAATAACTCCCTTTTTTTTTTTTTTAAATCTCTGCTCAGAGAAACAGCCAGATGACAAGCATCACCAACTTCTCAAAACAAAGCCACTGCCTTCCATCAAGTCCCTGGGTCCTCCTCCCCCAAAGCCTCCGAAGCCCCCAGCCGTGAACCTCCAGGCCTTCCAGAGGCAGGCAGCTGTAATTGCTAAGACCCACACGGAAGGTAAGAAAACGCACAGGTCCCCTGCAGGCAGCCAGCCAGCCAGGGGCCAGCGGGAGTCATGGCTCCAATGCCCGCATCCCTCCCCACCCCCAGCCCCCCACCGGCCTCCATTGCCTCCCTCTTCCTGTCAGCTCCCAGGTGATAATGCCGAACTGCTTTTCCATGGGGCCGGACGTCCGTCACTGCTTATTTTCACGTGGAGGCCGTGGCAGCTTGCCCGTGAGATACGACAGATCTGCAGGAATTGGCCCCTTATCGCTCCTGGGCCAGCCTGCTTCCCCTGAGAGCATTGCATTTGATCACCGGGAGGCTGTCCAAGAGGAAGAAAACGAAAAGTAGTCAAGCAGGGAGCAGGGAGCTTTTGTGATTCCTACAAAGCCTGTGTTGTCAACACAATCAGGGCGGTAGGAGGGAGGAGGGAATGAAAAGGGAAGAAAATCAGCGTGAACTTGACGGGTGATCCTAATGTGGGTCCCTCAGGCCTGTGTGATCGGCCTTCTGTAACTAGTCCAAGGGCCCCACCCCTGCCCCCCACCGCTGGCCCTTTGCAGGAACTGAGGAGTCCTCGGAAGCCATTTTTGTGTACTGTTCTGACTCTACCTCCTCTGCTTAGAGGAATACCTTCTCATCCCCTCGCGGCCGCCCCGTGGTCTGACCCTGTTGACGCTTCAAAGGCCTTTGTTTATGTTTGCTCTAATGAAACACGAGATGTACGCCCTCTTTGGGGTGACACCTAGTGCTGTGCTAACTTTGGTTTTACCGTGGCCGCGAGTGCCAGCAGACCTTGCGCCTTGTTCACATGACGGCTCGGAACACCCTCAGTTAAATTTCTTGAACGCATTGGTTCTCAAACTTCAGCCTCTGCCGGAATCAGCTAGAGGACTTGTCAAAACACCAATCACAGGGCCCCACTCCCAGAGCGTCTGATTTATTTGGTGTGCATTGGGTACCCGAGAATTGGCCTTTGTGACGAGGTCCCCAGGAGATGCTGATGCTTCGGGTCCAGTGACCACATTTTGACAATCCATGCTGCAATCCTCTTCTGTCTGATCCTTAGAGGAAACTCTCTGTGAGGATGTAGAGCCCTGGTGCGTGGACCTGATCTCAGCTGGTCGGCCCGAGACACCCCCACCCCCTCCCTGCCTCACCGAGCGCGGACCCCAGCCCCCCAGCCCCCGGTCCCATTTCTGCTCCACCAAGATGAAAGAAACCATCACAAACCAGGAGGAACTCTCACTGGGAAGCACAGGTGCACATTGGTGGGAAAGGAACTACTCCCCGAAAGAAGATGGTTCATAGAACAGCTACAGGAGATGATAAAAAAATGTCAGTTCTCCTTAAAGAAGTGAGGGGTAAACAGTAGCTCTGGTGAGTCGAAGAAGCGACTGTGTTCGCAAACCGAGGAAGGGTGATCCGCTTTTGCGACCCTAGAGTTCGGGCGCCCGGGGCAGCGAGCACTTTCACCATCAAGGGCCAAGTGGAGGTAAAGCAGCTGACAGAAAGCCTACCCAGAGGTTTAAACCAGCTTTGTGCAGCAGCTCCTGCCCACGGTCTACCACCCACTACTGGGGAGGAGGAGGAGGAGGAAGAGGAGGAGGAGGAGGAAGTTGCAGGTCACGTGGAGCGTTTTGATGAAGCTTCCAAGAAGGAAGCAAACTGAATGGAGTCAACTTCTGAAGGAGATAGGACTTGAAGAGGTTACCAGGAGCTGCTCTTTTTTAGATTACGAGTGCTTTTTAAAATTTTGTTCATGGGGGCGCCTGGGTGGCTCAGTCGGTTAAGTGTCCGACTTGGGCTCAGGTCACGATCTCACGGGTCCGTGAGTTCGAGCCCCATGTTGGGCTCCGTGCTGACAGCTCAGAGCCTGGAGCCTGCTTCGGACTCTGTGTCTCCCTCTCTCTCTGCCCCTCCCCCACTTTCTCTGTCTCTCAAAAAAAATGAATAAACATTAAAAAAATTAACATTCTGTTCATGGATCTGATAAAATCTGGATCTCTAATGTTTTTAAGCCCCAGCCCCTTGGACAGTGCAACTCTGTTCAGTATTTGCTTAGACACAATATATTCTTGGCAACTAATGAAGCTGAAGAAGCCCGGGAATGAAGTTTGAAACAAAGTTAATAAAGACCTTTGCCTAGTGAAAAAAAAAAAAAAAAAAAAAAAAAAAAAAGAAGAAGAAGAAGAAGAAAGAAACAGAGCTTTTATAAGTAGACGTTCATAACAATTTGGCCACCTCCATAACAGAGAAAGCTAAGTATGATTTTTTAAAGCATAGAATCATTCAGACCTCAAACACTCCCAAAGCGAAGAAGTCTGTCAGAGAACATAGAACAAAGCACCAAGTGTTTTGTAATAAAATGGGCTTTGTGAACCCCAGCTCCCCCAGTCGCTAGCTATTTAGGCCTGGGCATGTTATTCACTGAGCCTCATTGTCCTTATCTGTAAAATGGGGATGACAGTAACACTCCTCGCCTGATGTCTGTGAGGATAAGTGAGATGAGTCATGGAAAGAGTGGAAACAATGTTTGGCACACCAGTATGTGCTCAATAAATGCAATGTTATCATTGTTTCAAGTTTGTGTTGAGCAGCTACACTCTCCTTGCCCTGGGCCCTGTGATAGCCGCCAAGAGATAGAGAACCCCCCACACAAGTTCTGGTACTCCAGAAGGTCAAAGTCTAATACAGAAGATCAAGAGAAGACTCCTAAAGAAGCACCATAGGTGTGCCCGGGGGGCTCAGTTAAGCATTCAATTCAGCTCAGCTCATGATCTCGCGGTTCCTGAGTTCCAGCCCCTTGTCAGGCTCTGTGCTGACAGCTTGGAGCCTGGAGCCTGCTTTGGATTCTGTGTCTCCCTTCCTTTCTGCCCCTCCCCTGCTCTTATCTCTCTATCTCTGTCTCTGTCTGTCTCTCTCTCTCTCTCTCTCTGTCTCTCTCTCTCTCTCTCTCTCTCACACACACACACACACACACACACACACACACACAGTACCATGAAGTGTAGGTGGATGCTGGACTGCAGGACCCAGGGTGCTGGGGAGGGGGGAGGCGGTTTGGGGCACCCGTGAGTTGCGGCTCCTCACTTTGTCTCTGGGGTGAGGGCCTTGCACAAAGTTCGCTTTAATCAGGCTGCCACCTATGCGCCTTCTCACTCTACGTCTTGCTCTTACAGCCGCTGTGGAAGAGGGCTGCCTGCCTCCAGAGAGGTGAGTACCTGCTTCTTAATTGGGTAGGAGCACAGCGCATGTCGCCATTGACAAGGCTGCTTAACCTGCCTGAGAGCAGGCAGTAGGTCCACGCCAGGTGTCTCTCTTTCTCCGAAGGGTTGCAGGAAGAACAGATTTATAAGCAACAAGCTGCAGCTTTTGTTTTAGAGGAGAGATTAAATAAACTGCATTTAACTGCTGTGCTGACAAGAAGTTGCAAAGATGGTCCTCTGAGGGACTTTTATTTATGATACAGTTGGGTTCAGTAAATTGAAACATCGGCTTCCATAGTAATAAATTGAATTAGAGGCTCCAGAATGCTGTGGGCAGCTGGCGTGATGTTAGGAATCGGTAATGGGACAGAGGACCTTCTGTTTTTGTTGTACTTGTTCTGAGAACTTTGCCATGGAAGTGTCAGTTCATTAATTCACTCGACCAAATGCTATCTGTGCAGCCCTTTGAGGGTCGTGCGTTGAGCTGGCTACTTTGTGCAGATTTTCTCACTTCCTTTTCTCCACGCTGCAAAATGGCCGCTGCTGTCCGCATTGTCTAGCCGAAGACACTTGGGCTCAGAAAGTTTGGCCATTTGCAGAACCATGATTCCATCCCGTAGATGCCCAAACTATTTTTCCTATCGAATATAATGGAAATAGAAGAGGGTGTAAGTCTGAGGTGTGCAAGATGTTAGCATGACACATTTGTAAATTGCAGTGTGACCGCTTCAGTAGTTAGCTGGTGCCTTTTTCACCGCGCGTAATTCTCGTTTCTCTTTTGTGTTGAAAACAGTTACGATCTCATCTCTTGGCAACTTTAAAATTTACAATAAAACACTCTTTGCTGTAGTCACTATTTGCACATTAGATCTCTGGAACTTCCTTATCTACTAGTTATAAGTTTGTACCTTAAATAGCATCTCCCCACCTCACCCACCCCTCAGCCTCTGGTAACCACTCTTTACTCTGTTTTTACAAGTTTCGTTTTTGTTGTTGTTGTTTTTTAGATTTCCCATCTGAGTGATACCATACGATAATTGTTTTTTCTCTGTCTGATTTATCTCACTTTTCCTAATGCCATCAAGGTCCGTCACTGATGGCAGGATTGTCTCCTTTCTTGTGGCTGAATAACATCCTGCCGTACATAGAGGGCACATCTTTATCCATTCATCTTTTGATGGACGCTTAGGTTGTTTCCACATCTTGCCTATTGCGATATTAACAGGAGTGTAGAGGCATCTCTTCAAGATGCTAATGTCATTTCCTTCAGATACATACCCAGGAGTGGGAGTGCTGGATCATATGACAGGTCAATTCTTTTTTAAATTTTTTTTTCAACGTTTTTATTTATTTTTGGGACAGAGAGAGACAGAGCATGAACGGGGGAGGGGCAGAGAGAGAGGGAGACACAGAATCGGAAACAGGCTCCAGGCTCCGAGCCATCAGCCCAGAGCCCGACGCGGGGCTCGAACTCACGGACCGTGAGATCGTGGACAGGTCAATTCTTAATTGAACCCCTATACTCTTTTCCATAATGGCTGTACGAACAGGTGTGCCCAAACTCTTTTGATTGTATCAACCTCACCTCCCTCACCTCCCTCACAAATAGGTTCCTTTTCTCAAGAAGGTCAGCCTTGGAAGAAGCAGCAAACATAAAAACCAATCCCCACATTATTTACCAAACGTTTATAAGACTAGAATGTGTTAATTTTCCTAATAGAGGAATGTACAAGATTTAGAGGTTGCACAAATATGGGAGTGCTCACTTGTCCTTGGGAGGGGTCAGTGAAGCCTTTATAGAAAATATATCAGTGATCTATTGCTACAGTCATACTCCATAATACACAACAAAGTATCAACAGCATACAGCAAAAGTGTGGGTGAAGCTGATCTGGGCTGGGCTCAGCTGGTGGTGTTAGTATGTTGCAGATTCCCTAGGCAGTTTGCCTGATATTGACTGGGGTTGCTACCCTTGTCTGGGGGTCAGCCTGCAGTTGGCGGATGTAGGATTGCCTTGGCTGGCATGAGTGGGGCAACCTGACTTCACACCGTCTGCCTCACCCTCCAGCAAACTGGCTGAGGAACAACCTACAGTCACAGCAGACAAGCAAGACCATCCCAGTTGCACACACACTTTTCAGACTCTGCTGTATCACATTTGCTCACATCCTATTGGTCAAAGCAAGTCACGTGGCCCAGCTTCAGCATGGGAGGACACCACAACTTTACCTAAAAAAAAGGGGGGGGGGCAGGGATCCAAGAAGGAGTGAAGAATAGGGGTGTACATCCAATCAGCCTGTCACTGAAGAGGGAACATTTGCCGTGAGTACTGAGGGTCGACATTGGCTGGATGATGTGGGGAAGGGCACTATAGGCAGAGGCAGGACCTGTGAGGAAATGGGTATTATCTGTGAAAACTAGAAATAGGTTAGTAGAATTGGTGTGGGAAGGGTAGTTTGGAATGAAAAGAAATGGTATTGTGGAGGTAAACAGGAGCCAAATCTTGGTAAGATGAGACTGTCTTGTTCACCAAGGAATTGACCATCTGGTGTTGGCATATGGTCCACCTGCTCCAGGAACTCCTAGTTTAGCTGCCCAGTTGAAAGAGTTAGATGACAGCACAGGGAAGGTGAGTGGAGCCACATTCTATGTGCGTTTTTGTGAAAGAGAAAAAGCAATTTAGACAGCGGAGGCAATGAGTTGTACTGTTTACTCAATGAACATGGGCCCCAGGGTGACCGTGTGAGGGGACAATATAACTCTGCTGTGCACTGAGTCAATCTTGGTTCCCTCGTGACTCACCTTCTCTGAGCATCTCAATGTGATGATACGGGTGCTGTGATTGAGGTATGTAACCAGATACGCATTCTTCCTACGGTCTGCCTCCGACCTCAGCTGAGTTCTTCTCTGGCACTTTCATCAAAGGCAGCGGTCTGTTTCAATATGGAGGCTAAACTTGCTTGCTGGCCACATATTGGGAAACAGTGGGGAGTCTCTAATGTGACACCTCCTTCCTGAGGGACTCGGAAGGGCAGTTGGACCGTGGGGTCCTTTCACACTGACTTTAGAACCCGACCATCATCAGAAACGAGGTTCACTGTACCGCAGTTACAGTAGGGGCCATGGTGATGTACGAGTACAAAGCAAAAGGGGCAGCGAGGAACCGGCATACTTAGGGGTGGCTTCATGGAGGATGAAAGCTCTTGAGATGGCTACTGCGTAATGGGTCAGGATTAAACAGGTATGCTTATTCCCTCTTGTGAGACTGTACAGTGGGTGAGGGCAGGGTACTGTTCCCAGAAATCACCACATTCCTGACTTGGATGGATGGATGGACCCAGGGATGCTCAGGAAAGAGACAGAATGTGACTGAAAACAAGGCAATAGTACAAAAGTGGGGGATAAACAGACACAGGGTATTCTTACGTGGAAGAGTAAGAGCTGAGATTGGATCCTAAAGTTAATTAGGTGCTGGGTTGAGAAGTTGGGACTTTGGCTGGTCAGTGATGTGTTAGTTTATTTTAAAAAAAATTTTAATGTTTATTTTTGAGAGAGAGACAGAGTGCAAGCAGGGGAGGGGCAGAGAGAGAGGGAGACACAGAATCGGAAGCGGGCTCCAGGCTCTGAGCTGTCAGTGCAGTGCCCGACACGGGGCATGAACAGTGAACTGTGAGATCATGACCTGAGCCAAAGTCAGACGCTTAGCCGACTGAGCCACGTAGGCGCCCCAGTGATGTGTTAGCTCAAACACGTAAGTGCAGTGATGCTGAACAGCGTTAGATACAACTTCCATGGAAACTGGCACTTGTTTGGAAAGAACATCTTCCACGTTCATGGTATTGATCTTCAGTACAAATAATAGATTCGAAGCAATACATTGGGTCTCATTACTGGGAGTGGACCTGGCAATTGTTGGATGTAGCAGGCCACGTAGCGTAATATTAACAAGTCTGGGGGTTTTAGTCCGAGGCCTACCACTTAACACCTGCATAACCTTGGACGAATGCCTTGACCTCTGCAGACCTTAGTTTCTACTCACGTAAACTGGGAGGCTGATAGGATCTAACTCATACAGGTATGGCAAATGTTAAATAATGATTGTAGGGTGTTGAGTGCAATGCCAAGCATCTAGAGAGTGTTCAATAAAGCTTGCTTGGCTATTGTTGAACCCCCCTCCAAAGGCAAGAATCCATGCTCAGAAACTTAGTCTCTTAAAAAAATCCTTTGATGGTGAGCTCATTACCAGAAGAGTCCCATATTTTTCTTGTTGAGGCACATTTTATTCATTCATCCTATGTTTATTGATTTATATGCCAAACCCTCTTACATACATTGAGAATATGGAATTGTATAGACAAAGGTTTCCTACATGCAGGTACATATACATACACACGTGTGACACATTTGTCTTCTGTATTCAAAAGTCTGAGTTGGGCTGGGGCCACAAATGACCTCCCTACCCCTAGCCATGTGTCCAAGATCTACTCATTGGTACTGTAAACAGGGTCTTGACCCCTTCCTTACGTGACGGCTCTTAAGACCTCTAGGGGATACATTGTGTTAAATAAAACTTTCATCGTTTTCAACCATTACTCACAAAACAGGAGTCCGTAGCTGTACTTTTATGTACTTTTAATCATCTTGTTAGAAACTCAGCGTATTTATAGTAGCCACTGATTTTTTAACCTCTTTATGTTGTGTGTTAAAGATGAGAAGCAGCATTGTATAATGCAACGTGGTCAAGTCTGGAGTCACATTCCCATAGAGTCAAATGCTTCCGCTCCAGCTGTGAGAGCTCAGAGCTTTGTTATATGCGTCTGTAAGGTGGACACAATAATACTTCTTCACTATCACGGAGACTAAATGAAATAACACATATGAAGCGTGGAGTACACAGAGGATGCTTAGTGAGTCTTGCTTTTTCAACCTTGGCCTTTCCATTCCTTGTTATCTCTGGAATAAATATCTCGTTAGTTCCCAACAGCGGAATGACTCATTGGAGGTTGT